GAGTTTAACTCCCCTGCTTTAGAAGGTTCACCTATCCCGATCAGGACCCCGAACAGCTACAACTCGCTTGGTAGCTGGATTCATATAAAAAGATTCACCTTCTGAACAAGAGCTCATCTTTCCTGTGCTCACCAAGCATGGAAGAGATCTCAGGTTCGATCCCACCCCCACTAAACAGGGCTGTTTCAATTACTATTAGAAACCCAGGAGAACCAGCTGCTGATCGTGTTAAGAATTTCAGGCCAGAAGAGGCAGCGTGATTCAATAATCAGAGAGCGGGTTGTGTTCCCAGATCTAATTAGTTCTTTATCTGTATTAGAAGAACAAAAGAATCTCGTCTTACCAAGCAAGCCAGGCGGGCAGGCTGGCTGTCTTCAATTTATCCCCATAGCTCTAAATTCAGGACTTAGAAGAGAAGGGCATTCCAATTGCCAGCCTAAACTAGAATAGAATTCTTTATTGGCCAAGTGTGATTGGACACACAAGGAGTTTGTCTTCAGTGCATAAGCTCTCAGTGTACATAAAAGATGTAAGTGATAAATCATGATCATGGTCATCGTAAATACATTCATCATGAATTATAAGATACAACATGAATCATAAGTTTTATTTCGTGATAGTCATAGGATACCTAACAAGCAATCAAATCACACTAGGAAACTAAACAAAGCAATATAAATCGTAAGATGCAAGCAACAAGGTTATAGTCATAAGTAGAGAAGGAGATAGGTAATAGGAAGGATGAGAAGAAGAATAGTAATACAGTCCTAGTAAATAGTTTGACAGTGTTGTGGGAGTTAAATTGTTTAGCAGAGTGATGGCATGCAAGTAAAAACTGTCCTTGTGTCTAGTTGTTCTGGTGTGCAGTGTTCTATAACATCGTTTTGAGCAGGGGTCGCCAACCTTTTGGACCTCAGGGAATCACCAAACTCATAATTTTAAATCCCAGGGACACTAATCGGTTCTGTGGGTGTGGCCTAATTTGTGGGTGTGGCTTGGTGGTCATGTGACTGGCTGGGCACGGCTTGTATGTAAATATTATACATATTTATATAAATATTGAATTTTTTATAAAAAAGAGCAACTTTTACCCAAAATCAGGCAAAGCAGGCAGGCAGATTGAGTTGCTCACAGAATCACAGATTCATTCAGAGATCTATCTATCTGCCATCGGCTAGCTCAGTCTGTCACATAAAATTTGCTTGCAAACAAACTCATAAAATTTGCCAGCAAGCAAACTCACAAAATTAACTCACAACACACCATGTATGTAAATATTGAATTTTTTATATTAAAAAAAGAGCAACTTTTACCCAAAATCAGGCAAAGGAGGCAGGCAGATTGAGTTGCTCACAGAGTCATTCAGTGATCTATCTTATCTGCCATCGGCTAGCTCAGTCTCTCAAATTTGCTTACCGGGAGTCTGCATTGAATAATAGAACCTTCAGTCCTAAGGGAGGTTCGGCTGTGCTGAAAAGCAGAGCCGAAGATCTAAAGACTAGCTAGAAAGCAAGAAATCCAACCATTTCCTGCTTCCTACCTAATCTAAATCTCCCGGCACAGCAGAACAGATGATGGTCGGAAAAAGGAAAAATGGCAATTTAGCAGGCAAGTTTGCCGGGTAAGGAGTGAGTGGGCGGGGAGGGTTCCCGCGGGCCATGTGGGCAGCGCAGCCTTGTGTTTCTGTGCAGCCTGGATTGGGGGGTTCTCTGGGGGTGAGATTTCTCTGCGGCCCACCAAAATGTTCTCATGTCCCACCAGTGGGCCGCGGCCCACTGGTTGGCGACTGCTGGTTTTGAGGGTAGAAGTTGAAACAATTTACCTCCAGGATGTGAGGGGTCTGTAGATATTTTCCCAGCCCTCTTTTTGACTAACTAAAAGCAATGTTTTTTTTTAACTTTTCGGGGTCCATTCTCATTGGTTAGACTCATCCTTTGGGAATTTCCACCCCTCAAATCACTCGTCCTTGCTCTTTTGAGGCCCTGCACACTAAGGGGCTCTTCAGGTGGCAAATAGGGCTGTCCCTTGAATGAAGAAGTCCTCCGCGTGAAAACGCCCCCTTCCCGGTGTGCTGCCACCTTTGACGGGAGATGCTCTTTTGTCCCTGACTAACCTTGTGCGACAGGCTTGTTTCAGGAAAAACCCCGTAATCTGCAGAATAACATCCACACTTCTCTGGAGAAAAAGAAGAAGAGGTCGGGCCCGCCAGGAAGCGGCCGAGGGAGCCCCGTAGATGACAAAACTCTGCAAGGTGAGCTTCCGTTCCCTCTTCCCCCTCGGAGCTCCAAGGTTGCCTTAACGCTGGCCCTGGACCCCACACCGCCTCCTCATCTGACTCGGTCGCTGGAGGGCCCAGTGGCCGACGCGCCACAACAGGCGCTCTGATGACTGTCCTGTCTCCTCCAGACCCCCAGGGAACAGTCTACATCTTCAGATCCAAGGGCAACAGCTGGCCGGTGACCTACAGGTTTTCTCTCAACTCCACCGTGCCGTCTCCATGGCAGACCGTGCCCGCAAAAGGTGGAGAAGTGCCCTCCTTCCAGGTAAGCACCGACAGGTGAAGAGGTGACCCCTTTGTCAGGGAGGACCATAAATCAGCCCAGAGGGGCAACTGGGCAGCTTAGCTCCCTTCAGTAGGGCATCATGCAGCCTTTGCGTAGGTGGCATCGCCTAGAACTCCATCTTTTGGGATGCTTAGACGAGATAAGTCTCCACGGAGTCTAGATCAGCGGTCCCCATCCTTTGTGGCTTGGCAGCATGGGGGGAGGGGGTGGGTGGGAGAGGGGAAATCACCTGTATGACCAACAGGCTGGCGCGCGCACACACACACACACACACACACATACACACAAGAGTTCAACTTGTGCGAGCAGCGGGCATATTAAGCTGCCCACCCGTGCGCAGCTGCGCCAGTCTGCTGCTCACATAGCCTGGTTGGAAATAGGCCATGACCCGGGAGTTGGGTCACTCTAGACCCCTGGTCTAGATGACCGTTGGATTGCAGGGCTGCTCATCCTTCCATGATGGTTGTGGGCAGTGGGACTTGTCCTCTTTGAGCTGCCGGTCGAGTGGCAGATGCCAACAGCCTGTTCCTTGCTCACCCCCTGTGCCACTTGGCAGAGCTGAACAGAGAGGGGCATGCCACCCTTAAGTTTGTCTTTTGTGCCCTGCTAGCCCCCTTCGCCCCCTCCTGCCAGCCTCTAGAGACCTACAGTGAAGTGTTGTGTTTTCATTAATCCATGCTTAGGTGTATAAAGTTCCTTACGGTAACTTCACCAAGAGGCTGACCGCTTGTATGTCCACAGTAGGGCATGTCCAACCAGGGGCCAGCAAGAAGTGGATGGTGACCAGCTTATCATGCGACACGAAGAGAGGGTGGAAATCCGACTTCAGCTTCTATGTGGCCACCCAGGAGCAACAGCACACACGGTAATACTGAGCAGAGGCGGCCGGGCACAGAGTTCAGGCGGCCGTCAGAAGGTTCTTGGCAATTAATCATTGGGCAGAGTAGGGAAACGAAGTTGGGGGGCTGTTCTGCATTTTAGGAGGGAAGTTTTCTTTTTTTTCCTTCTTCAAATTTTGGAGAGCACAAGATTGAGGGTAGCTCTGTGTGTGTGTGTGTGTGTGTGTGTGAGAGAGAGAGAGAGAGAGAGAGAGAGAGAGAGAGAGAGAGAGAGATTATAGATATAGATATAGATATAGATATAGATATAGATATAGATATAGATGTATGGCATTCAGCTTTGTTCGGGTATTTTCCCACGTCATTGTAGTTGTGCTTTTAAAGTTGTAGCAACGTTTCGGCAGAATCTCATCTGCCATCATCAGGCTTCTGTATTGTGTTCGTTGCTACAACTTTAAAAGCACAACTACAATGACGTGGGAAAATACCCGAACAAAGCTGAATGCCATACATGTAAGTACCTGCGAAAACTTAAGAAAATAGATATAGATATAGATATATAGATCTCCCTCCCTCTCTCTCTCTCTCTCTCTCTCTCTCTCACACACACACACACACACACACACACATACACACACACACACACACAGAGCTATCCTCAGTTCTGCTCACTGCCAGGAGTTCGATCCTGACCAACTGGCTCAAGGTTGACTCAGCCTTCCGTCCTTCCGAGGTCGGTAAAATGAGGACCCAGATTGTTGGGGGGCAAGAGGCTGGCTCTGTAAACCGCTTAGAGGGGGCTGTAAAGCACTATGAAGTCTAAGTGCTATTCCTTCCTTCCTTCCTTCCTCCCAGTGGTTAGAATGCAGTATTGCAGGCTAACCCTGCCGACTGCCAGGAGTTTGATCCTGACCAGCTCAAGGTTGACTCAGCCTTCCATCCATCTGGGTTTGGTAAAATGAGGTTGGGGGGCAAGAGGCTGACTCTGTCAACCGCTTAGAGAGGGCTGTGAAACTCTGTGAAGCGTAAGTGCTGTTGCTATGGCTCTATCCCCAGGAAGCTGTATTTCGCCCAGTCACACAAGCCTCCGTACCACAGCCGAGTCTGCCTGGCACCCCCGGGCTGCCTCCTCAGCTCCAGCCCAGACGGACCCAACAAAGGATACCTGTTCGTGCCAAGTGAGAGAGGTGAGCCACCCATGAAACGAGGGGAGTGTGTGTGTTCTCTTCATTCTTGCACACTTACAGCTAGTTGTGGTGCTAAGAGAGGAAGCAGAGGGAGGAGGCTCAAGGCCCTGTGAGGGGACTTCCTGCGGCCTCCTTAGTCTGACCCACATGCAGGGTTGTTGTGAGGATCAATGTAGGGAAGAATTGCCACACATGTGATAATAAGACAGGCTGTCAGGATTCCGGCAGTTACCCCCATTTAAATCATGAGTCTCGAGCCAAACTTCCAAAACTTCAAAAGGATTTATTGGGAGTTAAACTGTCCGGCACTGCCTGGGTGTAGCCAACTCTGAGAATCTTGACCCTGGTTTCCCTGCCCCCCGGCTGTATCATAATTCATATTCTCCAATGGGACACATCCATAGCCAAGAGTCATCAATCATGTTCTCCAATTAGATATTTGCATGGCAGAAACTTCAGTCACCTAGTTACTATCTTTGAAAGTTTGGGGACCCCTGGACTAAAGTCTCAACGCCATCACCCTAACACCTACACCACTTCCTTGCTCTGTCCTCTCTCCTTCTCCAGCCTCTTCCAGATCCAGGTTCTCCATCACGTCAGGATTCAACCCTTGCCGGAACGGCAACTGCGGGAAGCCTGCCGTGCGTCCGCTGGTGGACACGGGCGCCATGGTTTTCGTGGTGTTTGGGATCCTTGGGGTCAACCGTACCCGGCACACCGACAACCACGTCATTGGAGACATGGTGCGTGTCCTTTCCTGGGGTCTGTGGAGCTGGAGGAGCCTCCCCAGGTCGGGTCTCGCTTACATGTCCTCTTCGCCGCTTGTATCTCCTTTGGAAAGGGTAGCGTCATCTATGACAGCAGCTTCGACCTGTTCAAAGAAATTGGCAACCTGTGCCGGATCTGTAAGGCCATCGCCAGCAACGCCGAGCTGGTCAAGCCAGGAGGAGCTCAGTGCCTCCCTTCAGGTATCTCCCCTTCCCCTTCTCAGGCTTCGATTGTGTGAGCCACGCTCCCTAGTGGGCCTCTCTAGTGTTGACCAGGAATCTAAGGTCTCTATCGACAGTCTTGAGGGAGCATATGGGCTGATGTCACCATTGCCTCTGATGGCCTTCAAGGTCATGGAAAGATCCTGAGGAAACACCGAATGGGCCTTCAAGGCCATGGAAGGTTCCTCAGGAAACACTGAATGGGCCTTCAAGTTCATGGAAAGTTCCTGAGGAAACACCAAATGGGCCTTCAAGACCATGGAAAAACCGAATGGGCCTTCAAGATCATGGAAAGTTCCCGAGGAAACACCAAATGGGCCTTCAAGATCATGGAAGGTTTCTCAGGAAACACTAAATGGGCCTTCAAGATCATGGAA